GATGACAGGAGGAAGTTATCAAGAGCACCCCTTAGAGGAAGCATCCCGGACTTCTCGACTTTTGTGTGTGTGTGTTTGTGTGTGGACGTGTGTGTGTGCATGTGGATGTGAGTATACACGTGTGTATAAGTACACCTGTACACATGTGTGTGTGCCTATGGAGGCCAGAGAACAACTTTGGATAGTGCTATTCCTTGGGTATCATCCACCTTCATATTTTTTTCTAACAGAGTCTCTTGCTGGCTTGGAACTGACGGAGCCGACAAAGACGCTGGCTCCCTATCCCCATGGTCCCATGGACCTTCCGATCTCTGTCTCCCCAGAGCTAGGATTACAGGGGTAATTCATTCACCTGACTTTTTTTTAAACACAGGTTCTGAGGACCCTAAGGGAGGTCCTTGTGCTTGCCTGGCACTGACTGACTGAGGTATCTCTCTACCCTAGTCTTTTTCAGTACATCTCTGTCCTTGGGGAGTATCCTGGGGGTTACTTAGCACGTCCAGTTGCAATTGTCCATGGATTATCCCACAGCATCAACAATATGCCACTGGTAGACGGGGCGCCTGCCCAGCCTTCCCCCCAGCCCTCTACAGTCCTCCCTCTACTCAGAATCTTCTGCCGCATTGTTGGGGAGATACGGGAAGTGAAAGTATGAAGCACACTGAAACGTGCAATACAAATATGAAGGATGATATGATTTGCTTCACTAAGTCAGGCCACATCGGCTTGTTTTCTTGCTACAACTTTTCTTAGCGTCTGTGGATGCCCCACTCAATCCTTTTGCATTCAGTTCCTCCCACCTTCGCTGAACATCTGTGTGAGGGCTTGCTCTACGGTGAGGAAGGTCCTGCGCATGCCAGCCAGAGCTGTTGGGGGAAGACTACAAAGTCATCCCTTAGACCCAGACAGACGTCTCTAAGCCCCAGTGTCTTCAGCTCTCAAATGAGACACATAGGCTCTCTTGTCCAGTACAGTTTCTGGCACATGGCGGGTCTTCAGAAACACACCTCCCCTGGAAAGGCCCTTGGGAATCCCCAAATAGCACTCTTTAGAGTTTAAAGACTGTGACTCAATAGAGTTAGTGCTAAGACCCATGTACTAACTGGATTAGGGGAGGCTGTACACCTGAAAGACTAGCACACTCAGGAGACTGAGACAGGAAGGTCATGAGTTTGAGGCCAGTCTGGGCTACACAATGAGTTCCAGGGTAGCCTGAACAAGAATGTGTATAATATATATTAATATATGTATATATTCTTATGTATATATGTGTATCTATTTATGTCATGTCTATATTTAAACCTGATGTAAAGAATACTGCAGAGGCTCAAGCTGCATCAAATGTAATAACCAACTCTGACTTCTGGAAGAGGACAGAGCAAGCAGTGGGAAGGGTGTGCTTCAAATTGCCAGTGAAGAGTGTGCAGAGATACCCCTAATCCAGCTGGGGTCATCCCTACAACCAGGATGAGAAAAATAAGACTGCTCCCACCCATAGAACTGAACCTCAAGCATAGAGGAGGACTTTAGGACCAAGACAAGATGTGTGACTTTCTGTGGTACATATAGGGAAGCCCAGAGACGGTCCAGTCTGGAAACACAAAAGGCTTCCAAACAAAGACATCCGTGGACTCCACGCTATCAGGGGCATTCTTTGTGTATGTCTGTATCAGTTCATGTGTGTATGAGTACACGTACCGTGTATGAATGTGTGCAGAAGCCAGAAGTCAACAACAGTTTACTATTTTGTTTTAAGATTTTGTGTGTGTGTGTGTGTGTGTGTGTGTGTGTGTAAATGAATTCAAGGGACTGGAGGAGGGTATTGGGTCCCCTGGAACTATAGCTACAAGCATTTGTGAGCAGGCCTTTGTGGGTGTTAGGAACCAAACTTGGGCTCTCTGCAAGAGCAGTATTTGTTCTGAGTTTCCGAGTCAGCTGTCCAGCCCCTTTGCCTTGTTTTTAGTGAAAGGGACTTTCATTGAATCTGAAACTCAGAGACCCAGCTAGTGCAGCCCTAGGGATCCTGAACTACCAATATGCCCGGCCTTATCAAGGTGGCTGGGAGTCTGGGCTCAGGTCCTCAAGTTTGTGAAGTAAGCTCTTTATTGACCAAGCCATCTCTCTGGCTCTAATAATGGGCATTTCCTTTGTTTTTGTGGTTTGGTTGGTTTTGTTTGTTTATTTTGAGACAGGGTTTCTCTGTGTAGCCCTGGCTGTACTAGAACCTGCTCTGTAGACCAGGCTGACCTTGAACTCATAGAAATGAAAATGGGTGCTTCTTAGAGACGTCATCTTGAATTGAACTTCTGGAGGCTGGGCTCATAGATGCCAGCCACAGCATCTCCCCCACAGGCCCTGCCTGCAGAGATCATTGTTTGGCATCCACTGACCCTGTAGGATTCTGAGGTTTCAGTGGTACATGAGGCAACTTTCCAGAAGAATCAGACAAACCCTAAGTTGAGTCAAAGCTTAGCTTCTAGTAGCAGTGAATTCTGGCTTTTGGTCTCTGTCACCAGAAGTCCTAAAAGATGGTCCAGACTAGAGAAAAGATCACCAGACCCCTTATACGACCTCACATTTGGCTTCAGCTCATCCTCCTGGGCCTAGAGCTCGTCATACTAACATTCTATAAAGATGTATCCCCAGGAGTCCCCAAAGTCCCCTGGGCAACTCAATTCTGAGGTCACTTCAGTTTTGAGATGACAAGAGAAAAAGTCAATTACCCCCTCTTCCAAGGGATGCCGGTGGGGGGGGGGGGACAGCAGTGGAGGCAGAAGGCTTGAGGACCATCCCCCACTGCTCATCTAGCTCCTCCTCTCTGGGAGGGGAAATTGTGTCCTTCCTTTCCCTCTAGTGCTGTCTTTCTTAGAGCCTGTGTCTCCGGTAACCCCTTGCAGCCTTCCCCAGGCTTGCCTGGAGCAGCCCCTAAGGCCCCAGCAGCCTCCTCTGAATGGTGAATCAGGGGTAGTTGTTGGAAAACGCTTGGAGGATGTTAAGAGGCTGTATCTTCTGGTCCCCAGGAAGGAGAGGTGTAGCGGCCCGGGCATTCCCTTTGTGGACCCCACGGATGTGATTTTTCAATGTTGGTTGCCAACAGGACAGCCAGCTACTGGAGAGATGCGCTTGCTTCTGTGTTTTCGTACTGGACCAAGGGCATTCAGTAAGCATCCTGAGATCCAAAGATAGGAGAGTTAGACAAGGATGCTGACACAGCCCAGCCTTCCTTGGCCCTGGCTTTGTTGTGTTGTACGCTTTCCCATATGCCCCCCCCCCCCAAGCTTCTGGGGCATTTCCACCTGGGAATTGGCAGGGAAAACGAAATGCAGCGAAGGTACCCTTGCGTTCAGGGGTGAGTCCGAGCGCTCAGAAGGATTCAGAAGCTAAAATAGCTGGCTGACCCCACCCACGCTCTAGGGATAAAGGAGCTTGGGACATGGAACATGGGAACTGCAAGGCTGAGGGAGCTGCTGCCCCAGCAGAACCAGCTCTTGGGGTTGTTCTTCCCGAAACTCAGTCGTCTCTCCCTCTGAAGAAAAAATGGATTTGACGGTTACACCACATGCCCAAGACTTTCGCGGGACCAAATGGAAACCGTCCTTTGCCTCTTGATGAGGGCTTGACAGATGCTAAGGAGCAGGGAGGGTGCTGTAGTGAGTGGGTAGCCGACCCCGACTCCTAGGGCTGCCAGAAGACTCAAAACCCCGAAGGGCTTTAGGAACTTTGAGGTGCCCCGAGACCTCAGGGCTATAGGGAAGTACTTGAAGTCCACGTCTGTTTACAAAGGTTGTGTTACAAGAGTTAAGCTCTATGGCAGGTCCAAGGAGCAGGGTCCATTGCCCCACAGACCTAAGGGGCACCTTTGGGTTTGTGGAAGGATAATGTTCGTGGTTGGTACCCTCTAGTGGTTAGTGGTGGCACTACACCCAGCTGCCCTCCACCAGCCTATGTGTTTGATGGCAGAAGAGGTTCCCCCCTTTCCTAACAGGCATATTCTGTCTCTCTTTCTTTATTTTTATTTATTTGTTTGTTTTTTCATTTCTTTATTAATTGTTATGATTATGATTATTATGGTTTTTTGAAACAGGATTTCTCTATAGCTCTGGCTGTCCTGGAACTCGCTCTGTAGACCAGGCTGGCTTGAACTCACAGAGATCTGCCCGCCTCTGCCTCCCAAGTGCCGGGATTAAAGGCGTACACCACCACCTCTCCTTTTTTTAAAGTTTAATTTTATTTTTATTGGTGTGTATGTGTATGAGCCTGTGCCACACGTGTGTGCTCCTGGAGGCCAGAAGAGGACATCAGATCCCCTAGAGCTGGAGTTAACGTTGTTGTGAGTCTCTTAGGTCCTCTGGTACAACAGCAAGCTCTCTTAGCATGGAAGTCATCACTATAAACCCAGCTCATGTAGTTTTTGTAGTTGTGGATTTAGGGAACCATATGTTCAAGAAGAAAAGGACAGAACAAGGCCAGAAAAATGGTCCAGGAGGTAAAGGCACCTGCAGCCAAGCCTGAGTACCTGAGGTCAATCCCTGGGACCCACATGATGGAAAGACAGCATCAATTCCCGAGTTATCTTCTGATTCCTACACACACACACTTCAGCACACACACACACACACACACACACACACACAAATGCAATTTTAAAAGAAACATTGATGGGGACAATGCCTTTTTGGAAGGTCTCTGTTGCCCCTCATACCAGGGAGCAGACAACAGCAATCCATCCCCTGGACTCAGGATGCTCTCCTAAGGACACGTTGGGTGGTCTCTGTATCTGAGAGCTTGCATAACCAATGCTCACAAACCTGACAAAGGTGGCGATGGAAAGATAAGCTTGGGGACATGACCGCAGGAGAGGAGTGGGAACATGGTGAGTGGGAGGAGCCTCTAAATTATCCATCAGTACAAGCTGTCAGTGGCCCTGGCCCATGAATAAATGTACAGGGAAAAGGCAGGGGCCTTGGGATCGGGGAAAACAAGTAGGGTATAAAAGGGGCATGCAAGGGACCAAGTCCCAGATCCCAAACAGCTCAGGGTCCTGTGGACAGACCACTGAATGGCAATGGCTGCAGGTAAGCATCCTTGAATCCTGCCAGGTGTGGTATGGACCACGGGGTCCTGGAGATGGGTTTGAGGCTTCGAACGTGAGTGCAGCCCATCTTCTGCCCATGTTGGAAACACTCTGGGCCCCTACGGGACCTAGGCCATCGCTCTCAGTCTTTTCCCGTCTCTCTCTAGACTCTCGGTCCTCCTGGCTCCTCACCTTCACCCTGCTCTGCTTGCTCTGGCCTCAGGAGGCTGGTGCCTTTCCTGCTATGCCCTTGTCCAGTCTGTTTGCCAATGCTGTGCTCCGGGCCCAGCATCTGCACCAGCTGGCTGCTGACACCTACAAAGAGTTTGTAAGTTCCCCGGCAATGGTGCCTGCCTGACTGTGGGAGCAGCAAGGGGCAGACCCTTGCCCTCAGACCATGGGAAGTCACAAGGGGAAACAGAGGGAGGGGTCAGGCATCTTAAGCCAATGGTGTCAAGATGAACAGACACGGAGTGGGTCCTCCATAAGGTAGCCATGACAGGGGGCTCCAGGCTCACCCTCCGTGACTGCTCTCCCTCCAGGAGCGTGCCTACATCCCCGAGGGACAGCGCTATTCCATTCAGAATGCCCAAGCTGCTTTCTGCTTCTCTGAGACCATCCCAGCCCCCACAGGCAAGGAGGAGGCCCAACAGAGATCCGTGAGTGACCACTCAGGCTTTGTCTGCACAAATTCTCTCTTCCCGCCAAGTAACCCTAACTGCACCCCAAGCCAGGGACCCTCCTCCTTCTCTCTGAAGCTGGGGTAACCTTGAAGTCCCAGGCAGCAGTCACTAGGCAATATACTCCACCCAGCCCTTTCTTCTTAGGACATGGAATTGCTTCGTTTCTCGCTGCTGCTCATCCAGTCATGGTTGGGGCCTGTGCAGTTCCTCAGCAGGATCTTCACCAACAGCCTGATGTTTGGAACCTCAGACCGCGTCTACGAGAAACTGAAGGACCTGGAAGAGGGCATACAGGCACTGATGCAGGTGAGGAGGGCCCTGGGGTGGGCTGCACTGTCCTTTGCCTCTGCCCAGAGCATAGCTGGAGGCTCATGGCTCTTCTCCATTTACCAGTCAGGCCTTGACTCTTGGGAAGGCCTCTTATTCATTTCTTTCACCTTATGAAGCTTCCAGGCCTTTCTCTAGGTCCTGGAGTTGGGGGAGGGCACAGCTCTTGAGACTCCTGTGCCTCTCCTGCCCATCCTTCCCCCTGCAGGAGCTGGAAGACGGCAGCCCCCGCATTGGGCAGATCCTCAAGCAAACCTATGACAAATTTGACACCAACATGCGCAGCGATGATGCCCTGCTCAAAAACTACGGGTTACTCTCCTGCTTCAAGAAGGACCTGCACAAGGCTGAGACCTACCTGCGGGTCATGAAGTGCCGCCGCTTTGTGGAAAGCAGCTGTGCCTTCTAGCGGCGCAGTGTCTCCACAGCGTCTACGCGGCCTCTCCGCTGTATCCCCCCAGTGCCTCCCTTTACCCTGACACCTGCCCAGCCCTATGTGTCATCCTAATAAAATTAAGATGCATCATATTGCTTGGCTAGATGTATTTCTATTATGGGAGGGAGGGGTGCTGTCAGAGTCCTAGAAGCCAACCTGCAAGAATCCTGTGGGCTGCAGGAAGACCAGCCCTGACTTTCCCTGGACCACATCGAGTCAACACATCACTTCCCCTACTGCATGAGTCTGCCCCCAATCCATAGTCAAAACCCCAGCTCTCTGGACAGCAAGTCAGTAAGGTCATAGGTCACCCCCATAAAGTGCCCAGAGGTGGTCCTCTCTCCTCCAACTAGAATCAGAAAGACCGAAGAGCCCCCTGCCCCCGAGATTAGGAAGAAATGAAAATGAGACTATGAGGCACCAAAGGAAAACATCTTCAAGAGAGAAAACATGAGTAAAATCACAGAATTACTGTGGTGTATCAACTTTAAGACAGGTTTTCATCTGTATCGACTACCCTTGGGGAATGGAGGCAGTTCAAGAATGAGTTTGGAAGCTGGGCATGGTGGCGTACAGCTGTAACCCCAGCATTTAAGAGGCTGAGTCGGGAGGACTGTTGTGAGTTTGAGGCCAGCCTAGTCTATATAGTGAGATATAGGCTAGCTTAATCTATGTAGCAAAACTTTGTCTTAAACAAAAACAAAACAAATGGATTTGGAACAACCAGAACTGGCAGGTCAGAATACTGAATTAGGGTAAGGGGTAGATAAGATTCTAAGACGAAGATTGCCATAGTAATTCCAGTGGGCACCAGGTAGCGGCTGAGGGACGACTCAGTTGGTGTTTGGTTTGTAATCATGAGGACCTGAGTTCCATGTCCAGAATCCACATTAAAACAAAACACACACACACACACACACACACACGAACGTGATGACACGTGGTTATTAACTGCAGTACTGGGAAGCAGAAACAGGCAGCTCCCTGCTCACTTTGTGAATTCCAGGTCAGGTCCCCTGTCTTAAAAAGCAAGGTGCACAGTGCCCGAGGAGTGACAGCTGAAGTCCTCCTCTTGTCTGTGTAAGCACACACAGCCATGTGTACTGCACTCACACGAACACACACACACACCCATGCGTACACACGCACACACATGCACACGCATGCACACACACACACGCACACACACACCAGTATCAGAGAGAGAAACACAGAAGAGACAAAAGCTCGCTGGGCGGGGACAAACAACACGATGGAGCACTTCCTTGTGAGGAAGGGGACCTGTGTAACATGAACCGTGGGCCCAGCTAAACGTGGGCTCAGCGGACCTCGTCACCGTTTGCCATGGAGAAATAGGTCTCTGAAGTCCTCTGAGGTGAGGACATCCAGACATATACATGAATTTAATTTTCAAACACTGGAACACATATGGAAAACATTTTAGGCGACCGAGACAGGACCTTTCTATTTTGGAAGGCAAGCCCACTGTGATTCTTTGACCGTCCAATCACAGCTGTTCTGTCATTGCCAAGTTTTTTTTTTTTTTCTAAGCCACCCATGCCGTTCAGGTAGATGACTTTGATCTTGTTAGTGTCAAACTCAGGTGGCAGCTGACTTCAGACTCAGAACAGTGGGGCAATGCTATCCCTTGGCTTCTCTGGGCTGAAAGACTCTCAACAAACCATTCCATTAAACTATTCTGATTGAAGCAGGGATGTGTCAGTTAACAGACAGAGAGCAACAGTTGCGAAACACGCACAGATATTGGGGATGGATGATGAGGAGGACCACTTGGGGACAGAGGGAGATGAGCCGTTCCCCACTGAGAGTAGCGTCTGTATCTTCTTCCTATTCTCCAAGTCTTCAATAGTACCAGATAGGTCTTCTCTAACCCTCCTGCTCTGGTCCCTGGGAACAGCCTGGCAGGATGAGGCTGACTGTGGCGGTGCACGCCTTTAGTCCCAGCACTTGGGAGGCAGAAGCAGAAGGCTAGCCTGGTCTACAGAGCAAGTTTCGGGACAGCCAGGGCTACATATAGAAACCCTGTCTTGAAAAACCAAAAAATAAAAACAAAACAGAATGAGGGTCTAGGTATGTCTGAGGTCAAGAGTTGCTTGTTCTTCCAGGGGACTTGGGTTCCATATCCAACACGCATGCTGGGTAGCTCACAACCTGTAACTCCAGCTACAGGAGGTCCAACATCTTCATCTGGCCTCTCTGTTTACCTGGACACATATGGTAGGCATACACACACACACAGAGAGACCCACACGGGAACACCGGACAGAAATCTCAAGGTCCAAATCAGGAGCAGAAGGAGACGGAGCACGAGCAAGGAACTCAGGACCACGAGGGGTGCACCCACACACTAAGACAATGGGGATGTTCTATTGGGATCTCACCAAGGCCAGCTGGCCTAGGTCTGAAAAAGCATGGGATAAATCCGGACTAGCTGAACATAGCAGACAATGAAAAATTTTAAAAAAGCAAATGTTAAACAATAATAACCAGGATAGTACCAAAGTCAAACAACTGTCGGCCCATACATTCCACAAGAAATAAAAATCTTTTTAAAATGTTGTATTCATGACCTGTAGAAAACGATCTGACCTCAGCCCATATGGAGACCTTATAAGATGCTGGCCCCTTTGCTTCGAGGTGACCTGAGAAGGGCTGCCCCTGTCCCCTGGAGTAAAAGCCCTCCTTAAAGCTGTGCTGCAGGACCACATTTGGCTCATTCATTTCTGCTATCACTAAATCAAAGAGTTCTCTCACTGGCTTTGGTGCTGACAGTTCAGTGTGGGCATGCTCAGACACTTAAAACTGTGAGGATATAAGTTGTTGGGGGTTTTGGTTGTTTTGTTTTGTTTGTTTGGTTTTTGAAACAGGGTTTCTCTGTGTAGCTCTGGTTGTCCTGGATTTCACTCTGTAGACCAGGCTGGCCTCAGACTCAGAGATCCACCTGCCTCTGCCTCCCATGTGTTGGGTGTAAAGGCACAGGCCAGCCTGCCCAGCTGAAGATGTAAGGGTTTTTGTTTGTTTGTTTGTTTATGGTTTTGGGTTTTTTTTTTGTTTTTCGAGACAGGGTTTCTCTGTGGCTTTGGAGCTTTTATAGACCAGGCTAGCTTCGAACTCACAGAGATCCGCCTACCTCTGCCTCCCAGTAAGTTTTATATTGTGTATTTCTTGTCACACTTTTTTCAGGGGGAGACAGTCTTGTTAAGTAGCCCAGACTGATCTCAAAATCTTTGTGCTTCATTCAGCTTCCCAAGTTCTGGGATCACAGACAGGTGCTACCCTGCCTGGAACAACAAACATTATTTTCTAAATAAGGGCATGCTAGATAGCCCAGGCTTGCCTTGAACTTGTGATCTTCTTGCCTTAAGCACTTTTGAGACACCAAATACCATCCAGGCATGGTGACAAATGTCTTTAATCCCAGTACTCAGGAGACAGACATAGGTGGATCTCAGTTCGAGGCCAGCCTGGTATACAGAAGGAGTACCAGGACAGCTAGAGCTACACAGAAAAAAACCTGTGATGCAGTACCACACATAGTTTAAAAAAAATTTTAAGCAACTGGGCGGTGCTGGCGCACACCTTTAATCTCAGCTCTCGCCAGGCAGAAGGCAGGTGGATCTCCATGAGTGAGGCCAGCCTGGTCTACAAAATGAGTTCCAGGACAGCCAAGGCAGTTACACAGAGAGACCCTGTCTCGAGAAACAAGAACGAAAGAAAGAAAGAAAGAAAGAAAGAAAGAAAGAAAGAAAATGTTAGTGAAAAGTCTTCCTGTGGTGGGGGATAAGATAGACAAGGCTCATTCTAGGAAGGATCCAACACGCATATCTCAAGTACTCCATGATTCCCGCCACCATTTCAGAGATATTGAATTCCCCCCTCCCGCACCCCCCCCTTGGAGGTTCTGGCGCAAACACTATGGTCAGTCAATTTTGGCAAGGTCTTGTTTTCCTCGGTATAGCCACATCATGGTCTGTCTGCTTTATGGCAACTCTGCTGCTGCAGCAGCCTTCTGTTGCCAGGCAACTACCGCTTTCCCTGGGTTATCTGGCGCCTACCTCATTTCCCTGTCAAGATTTCCACACTATAGTTTTTCTGGTCCTTGTGACGAAATACCTACAGGGGCGGCTTAACAAAAAAAGAGGTTTAGTTTGGGTCACAGACACAGCGTCTATCACAACAAGTGGGTCACAGTCATGGTGTCCCTCACAAGTGGGTCACAGTCATGGTGTCCCTCACAAGTGGGTCACGGTCATGGTGTCCCTCACAAGTGGGTCACAGTCATGGTGTCCCTCACAAGTGGGTCACGGTCATGGTGTCCATCATCACAAGGGGCAGTGTGAAAGTTGGGATAGCCATGATGTGAGGTGACAGGTTTTTTTAAATTTATTTTTATTTTATGTTTCTTAGTGTCTCCCTTGCCTGTGAAGGTGCCAGATCCCTTGGAACTCGAGTTTCAAACAGTTGTGAGCTGCCATGTGGTGTTGAGAATTGAACTTGGGACCTCCGGAAAAGCAGTTAGTGTTCTTAACTGCCAAGCCATCTCTCCAGCCAGTTTCTCATATCTTGATGGAGCAGGAGGCAGAGATGGTAGACTGGACTCAGGGTGGTTTATCTTCAAGGCCTGTCGCTGGTGACCTGTCTACCAGCTAGACCCTCCCCCCCATCCCAAAGATTCTATAACCTCCCAAACCAGTGTTACTAGCTGAGCACCAAGCGTTCAAAGATGTGGCCTCTAGGGGAATCCAAAGCATAATGTATCCCTGAATCACAAGGGCTGGAAAAAGGCAAAGGTCCAGCATCCAAGACTTCCTGCTGCTGAGGTTGAGAGTAGAAATCTCTGGCTTTCTTACCGGTAGGACCAGAGGTGCAGAGGTGGTGACACTCTGGAGTTGAAATGGCTGGCAACCTTGCCAGGCTGCCATTCTATGGTGTAGGATACTGAGTTTGAGGCCAGCCTGGGCTACACAGGAAGGCTCTTTCTCAAAAACAAAAACAAACAAAACACACACAAAAAAAACCACCCCACATATTTTTAAAACAAGGTAAATACCAGGGTGAGGAGAGTAATTAACGCCTTTTGAACTGTACTGGCAGGTGAATTCTCATTTCCTAAGGCATGAAGCCATTTAACCTGGTCATAATCTTTCCATGTCTTCCGTAGCTTGTCCTGCAGGGTTAATACAAGTGCTACAGATGTCACTGACAACCTCTCTGCGTGCTCCACCCCACTTGGCTAAGAGGTAGCTCAGGACAAGGCAGGATCTAATACGACCTTAGCCAAAGAGTTGGGACAGTTTTCAGTGGCCGGGTGTTCTAGTCTCATTCTGCAGCAGCGATAAAACTGACAAAAAGTGACTTGGGAGGAAAGGGATTCATCAGCATACGGGTTTCATTCTGTTACTGAGGGAAGCCAGGGCAGGAACCATGCAGAGAACCCACGCAGAGAACCCACGGAGGAATGCTGCCTGCTGGTTTGCTAGTTTCTTATGCAGCCTAGGATCTCTGCCCAGGGAATGGCACCATCCATGGTGGAACGGGCCTTTCTACATTAATAAATAATCAAACAATACCCCCCCCCGGCAACAAGACATACCCACAGGCCAACCTAATGGGGAAAATCCTTCAGCTGTGACCCTCTTCTCGGGTGTGTTAACAGTTAAATTAATCAGGATACTGTACATTCTAGGGATCCCCTGGTCCTAACCTGAGATTTTACCAAGGATTGGAGTTCTAGCAGAATTTTCTTCTGTCCTTTGTCTTTTTTTTAAAGATTTATTTTTTATGCATACAGTGTTCCACCTGCATGTATACCTGCAGGCCAGAAGAGTGCACCAGATCTCATTACAGATGGTTGCTGGGAATTGAACTCAGGACCTCTGGATGAGCAGTCAGTGCTCTTAACCGCTGAGCCATCTCTCCAGACCCCCTGTCCTTTGTCTTGATAGAATCGTGTCAATGTTAACAATTATCTTTTAGTTCCCAAGTATAGGCTTAGATACCAGGTATGACAGCACACACCTTTGATGCCAGCACTCAGGAGGCAGAGATAGGTAGATCTTTGTGTAGTCAACAAGTTCCAGGCCAGACAGGGTTACATAGAGAGACCCTGTCTCAGAAACAGAAACAAAAGGCTTGACTACGAAAGAGAGACCCGGGCACTAACCTATGAGAAATATAACCGTGGAAAGCCAGGCAGGAGTCAGCAGCATCATTTGAGAGCCACGGAAGCTAACCCACAGGGCCACCTGCTAACAGTGGCACCATGTGGCAGTGAGAAGTCACAGCAGGCTAAACCTCTACCTCTAACTCCACTAGCTGAACTAGGGAGCCAGTGACATTGTTCCTTTTTGGTTCATGTGCCTTAGGGTTTCTGGGTGGCCTTGGCAGATGGGACTGATGCTGACAAGCAGCTGATCCAAGGCATTAAATCAGCTGAGGACCCTGGATTAGGATGCTTTGTGTAGTCTTAGACCTGATCTTAATGTACTTCCCCTTTGCTCACCTTGAGATAAAATCATAGGAGACTCACACGGTAAGGAGTAAAAGCTACGAAACTCAGTGTGGAAACTGGCATTGAGAAGGTCTTTGGGGGAATACTTCCTTGGTCCTGAGTTAGACTTTCTTTGAACAAACCACACCTTTCTGGTCATAGAAAATAATGTGCCTTCAGTTAAGATATGGGTCCCCAAAAGGCCCATGTCTTTGTTTTGGGGTTTTTTGTTTGTTGATTTTTTTTTTGTTTTTTGAGATAGGTTTCTCTGTGAGACAGTCCTAACTGTCCTGGAACTCACTTTGTAGACCAGGCTGGCCTCGAATTTACAGAGATCTGCCCGCTTCTGCCTCCTAAGTGCTGGGATTAAAGGTATGTGCCACCACTGCCCGACTAAGGTCCATGTCTTAAGGGCCCCCAGACCATGGACTATTGGGAGACAATGAAACAAGATGGTGCCTAGTGAAAAGTCCTGAGGGGGTCTTAGAACCTTGGCCCTTAATGGTTTCCTTTTGCTCTTCCTGCTTCCACCATGATGTACTGCCTAGACACAGGACTAAAGGTCAAAAACTTCGAAACACTGTCATGGGAATCTTTCTTTCTTGCAGGCTGGCATACCTGATATTTGTCACGGAGATGGAAAGTGAGCACACCTCTCAGAGATATAAATTTGCAGAAGGCAGGGACAGTGCTCTGTTTACCACTGTGCCTCTGTTGCTTTGTATGATGAAACTAATGGGTTATCTTTATAGCAAATCTCCAAACCCAGATTCAGGGTTGTCAAGGAAGAAGGGGAGACACCTTTGGTGTTTCAAGCTAGTATCCGCAAGGTGGAAACTGGGTATGAGTGGGTGCTTTGGTTTTGAGATCAGGACAAACAGATTGCATTGCTTGCCCCAGACTGGCCATTCGTGTTAGCAAGCGGAAGCTCTCCTCAAAGTTCTGAACTGCAACCACTTGGCTTAGCGTAAAAGCTTTCAGCTGTGACACAAAGGAAGAATAAACCCAGATGGCACAAACTCTATTTCATTTTTATCACAGCTAACATCTCAGTAAACAGTTTCTGGCAGCCCCGGAGGAGGGGCCTGACTTGATGCTCCTCAAACCTTCACCAAGGTGGACATACTCCTTCCAAGGCCAGTGCAGAAAGCTGGGCTGTTGGAGCATATGGTGAGCACTGTTACAGAGGATTGGGGGGCGTGACTGTGCCGAGACCCATCTGCCATGGGGGTCTGTACATGTGTCCCACAGGACTTGTTCACAGAAGATGGAAACAGGCAATCCTTTGTGGAGATGGACCGCAGATGTGGGACTTGGCCTTTTACAAAAAGGAACTCAGAGCGCGCCCTTGACCTATTAGACCAACTCCATGGGCATATTTTACCTTAAAGCCTCCCCGCTCTCCAAAGTCAGGGAGTGATGATATATACTTGCAATCCCAGCACTCAGGAGCTGAGGTTGGAGGATCACAAGTTTGAGGCCATCCTGCACTGCATAGTAAGTCCTAGGTTTTTTGTTTTGTTATAAACTAGCTAAGCTCCTTCTCTGACCCAATGTGAAGTTCCAGAGGGTTCCTGGGGTGAAGCTTTATCAGCCAGCACCCTTTATGATGTCACCAGGTACTGTGTGGAGTAGGGGAATGTGGACCAGGAGCAGAGTTCCTTCTGATTCCTGCCCATTTATCTGATACGTACTCCTATGGAGTCTTGTTCCTGAACTACAAAAGAAGTCCCTGGTTAGTCATCAGGCAGTCCTGAGCAACGGATTCCAGGATATTTCTGATGATCTTTCTCATTTGCTGTTTGAGGAATGGACAGTGGAAATGAGGGGCAAGGGTGGGGACCTTCTGTGTGCTCAAGAGTAGACAGTTGAATACAATAAGGAGGGAAGGGGCTCTTTGCCAGCAGGAACAATCAGACTGAAATTTCTAGAAACTGTAATAAACTCAAAAAGAAAGGCAAGCTCCAGATGAACTGGTGTAAGCCACATGGGCCCCTGAAACCCTGTGGAGGGGACAGGAGAAGACAGGAATGCCGCCTCACATCCTGTCTCTTCCTCCCTCCTTGGCCTACTCTTTCCTCCCTGTAAAAGGCCTGTAGCTGAAGTCTCACTCAGGCAAAGAGCTGCTTCTGGTCAGCAGAGATGTGAGTTGCGCACTTCTGCCTTTATGTCAGCGAACTGGCCTTCCTTGTCTTTGTTCTGCTCTCTCTGCCTAGAGGCCCGTTTCCTCCTGTTTCTTTCGCAAGGCTAGTAGTTCACACAGTGCTACGGTGATCACAGCCATGCCAAGGGTGATAATGATGATGATGAAGGCGGTGGAGGAGGAGATCCCTTCTTCATGTGGTCCTGTGTGGGCACAGAAAACAGACACTGGGGACAGTGGGCTGAACACAAGAAAACCATTCCACCCCAAGACACCAAGCCCACTCCTCAGACACATGTTCTCCAGCCCAAGAGCATCTTGCTTCCCTCTACACTTGTGAGATTCTCAAACCTGGGCGACGGGGCGGGGTGGGGGCTTTCTACCCTGAGACCCAGCAGCTGGTACAGCAGGTACCTTGGACAACGACAGCAATCTCTTTGCTGATAGAGCCCAGCTGGTTAGTGGCTGTGCAGCAGTAGGTTCCAGTGAGGTTCTGGGTGGCCTTCTGAGGTACTTCAAGGTCAATGATCATCCCATTCCATGTGCACACCAAAGCTGGGGCAGGGTTTCCTTCTGGGATGCATGCAAGCATTTGATCCATTCCTTCTACCCATATCTGGTTGCCAGGGCAGCCGGATTCTCCAAAACGAGGCTTGTCTGCAAGAGAGCCCCAAAAGGAACCTAGTTGTATGTCCTGTCCCTGTCTCGCTTCCATTCATAGCCCCCTTTCCCTCTCTAGCTCAAACGTTGCTCCCTCAACCCAAGGAAAACACAGTCAGCTCCCTGCTTAGAATGAAACCCATTCTATTCTCTTCCCTTCCCTGTGGCAACGATTATGAGATGCAGCCTAGGATATTTTTATGAACTCAGGCTAAGTAACACGGTTCTGTTGGTGAGGCCCAGGGCTTCTCAATGTGCAAGGAATGGTCTCAGAAATAAGGATTTCCTCATTTTCCAAAACACAAATTGTGATTTGGAACTTCTGGGGGCTTCTCTCCTTAGCATCAGCCTCAGTGTCTCCTTTTTTGCTCTGTCTTTCCGGCACTGGCTCTCAGCTAGCTGTATCTGACCGCCGGACCCACTTGCCCTTTTGGGCAAACTCCCCATCTTGTCCCCACTCGCTTTCCCAAGGGCAAAGACAAGCTTGGACATGCTTGTTTTATTTTCTTCTCTGGACTTTTCCCCTCGGCTAATGAAGCAACTAGCCAAGAAGGGAAACTAAGTGTCCTGCCTTGCCGAGGACCATTGGGCCTCCACTCACATAAGACATGAAGCTGCATCTCAGTGGTTTTGAGCAGTCGCTGGCCCTGCACCTCCAAAGAGGCCTCACAGGAGATTTTCCGGCCATCGTCTTCCTCCCTGGCAGTAAAGAGGAACCAGGCAGGCTCGCCGGGAGCAGAGATGTTTGGAGCTCCCTGAAGTCGAAGAGTGGGACTAGGTGATGTTAACACATGACCCAAGCAGGTGACATTAACATCTGTCCCTGCCAGAGGGTAAGTGTCTTCGACCTCCAGAACTGGGGGAGGGAAACCTACAAAGAAAGGAAATGGAACAGTGGACACATTTTCAAGCTGGTGGCTGCCCCTGTCCTCTTGTTGCTGGAGGTCTCCCTTGGGTAGACAATGACAGAAGGGCGACTTTGCATAGCATTAGTGCTTCTGGGAAGGCTGAAGAGAAGGGCCAACAAGATAGCTGGAGAACTGAGAGCTTCCCTTCCCACATCTGCCCACATTTGGCTGTGCCTCTCCTGCGAGGACAGCAAGATGTCTTCTCATTGTACAGGTTTCTTACTCATCTCAAATGCTTATTCTAGAATGAAGTTCAAGCATCCACAATCGCCCAATCAGCAGGATAGGTTAGGGAGCTGAGGACAGAGGCCACATGGAGCTTCTGTCACAATGCAGGTCCTTAACCACCTCCGTCAGAGAAAGATGAAAGCCAACATTGACTTAAGAAGACACCCAGCAAAGGTTAGTCAGATAATATCTCCAGCCAAATCCACGAGGAAGAGAGGCGGTCACGTACTGTAGACATGCACTGCTTTCCTGACTCTCTGCTCCACTGGACCCAGAGACACAAGGCAGGTCAGCTCCTGGTCACCGGTCTCCATGGCCCGAATGGTGGTGCTGGCCCACGCTGCATCTCCCTTCCAGGAGGAGAAGGGGCTCAGCTCCTGGCCTTCTAAGAACATTCGGAAGACAGCTTCCTGGGCAGGAAACACCCTAGTCACCTCACAGCTCATGGTCTCCGCCACCCCAACCTCCAGGAGTGAAGACACCCCGATCTGAGGACTCTGAGAGAATTCTGCCAAGTAAGGGGGAAAAAGAAAGAAAGAAGGAAAGCTATAAGTCATGTGTCACCTAGAACACCATGGAAGGGAACGGGGCTGAGGGTGAATTAGAGGTGGGGCGCAGTTACTCTCTTCTCCTAAACTGGTGGGAACAGGGTCCCCAAAGGCCAAAACAGGCCCTGGGTTCTCTCCATGCCTGGATTCTGACTCACCAAAGATCCGGAGTTCCTTGGTAGCTGACCTGCCATGAAGCAACCTCCCACCGTGTGGGCTCAGGTCCAGTTCTGCAAGGCAGGAGAAATTGCTCCTGTTATTCTCCCGCTGGGCTCTGACATTGACAGTGACCTCGGCTCTTTGGGATGCCACAGAAAAACTCATAAAGTCCTTTCTGTGCAGTTCTCGGCCGTCCTGGAGAAGGGTAAGGGTGAGGCTCTGCAGGGGTGCCACAGTAGGCACGAGACACTTCACTGTGAAAGCCTCATCCATGGCCACCCACTCGGGCTGCAAGTCCAGGATCACCTGCTCCGGGGGCTCTTTAAGACAAAGAGACAAGCCTTGGTGAGGGGCCATTCACCTCCAGACAGAAATGACATGGCAGAAGTGACCACCACCCTTCAGGTTTCATGCGATAAGTTAGCCTTGCAGCTCTCTGTCCATCAAAGGTGGCCATGGCCTAGAACTGTGACAGCCAAAAGGAAGTCCCTTGCTTTGAATTTTCCTGCCATTCTGGAATATTCTCTCTCTTATCAGTGATGTTTCAGAGGCACAAGAAGCTTGGGAGAGGCACTCTTCCACTCATTTCTATCTTTACAATGCAAGATGGCTCCCTGTAGGACCCTGTTTACAGTCCCGACACCTCAGAGCCTCCCTTTCTGCAGAGCAGCTCAGGAACTGCCTACACCACAGGCTTCTTTCTCTGACTACCCCAGCTGAAGACTGTCCTTCCTGCAAGCCCTGGCTATCTTAAGAGCTGGCAGCAAATAAGCCAGCACTAATCTTACACTTGTCTGGTCACTCAGAAACTCCCCACGTAGTCTGTGCATTCTCCAGCATGCCTCCCGGCTAATGGTGGGAACTCAGAAGACAGCCTCTTCAAAGGAAGGGACTCCGGACAGTATGGCTGAGGCTTTACCTGGTGGGTGCAGGGCGGAGGGTGCAATTCTTTCCCCTAAGTAAAATCCCTGTCTAATTCTTCTCTAAAGAAAATGCATTCTGCCGGGCGGTGGTGGCACACGCCTTTAATCCCAGCACTCAGAAGGCAGAGGCAGGCAGATCCCTGTGAGTTCGAGGCCAGCCTGGTCTACAAGAGCTAGTTTCAGGACAGGCTCAAAGCTACAGAGAAACCCTGTCTCAAAAACAAACAAACAAACAAACAAACAAAAAACCAAGAAGAAGAAGGAGGAGGAGGAGGAGGAGGAGGAGGAGAAGAAGCAGCTGCTGCATCCCTGTTTCCCCCTCCTCTCTTCATCTGGGCCTCCACCCTACTCACGGTACATGGTGATGCGGAGCGCTGTGTCCTTCTGGACCCCTGCACAAGAGAAGAAGCAGTGCAGGACAGAGCTTTCTGTGACGTCCTCCAGGACAAACTCCTTCCACTGAGGCCCTTTGCCCAGCTGGCTTTTCCTGAAGAAGGTCTCGATTCCACTGGGCCCCGGGTCTGGGCAGGTGGTGCTGCAGTTGACGGTTAGGGACTGTCCAAACTCCACCAGGGCCTGATTTGGCCAAACAGACACTTCAAACAGCTCTTCTGTGGTCCCTGAAATGAAGCACACGGATCAAAAATGCTGGTGAAGACCAGGACATGCAGCATGAACAGAGTCCACTCTCTCCATCGGATCTAGGCTGGACAAGAGGGACCCTGCTCAGGGATCTGGAGAATAAACCCTTTAATCAACAAGTGAAAGCCTTGATCCCAGCCTCATTCCCATCTTTGTCCTGGGGACTAGATTTTCCCACAGAGTCTAAGGAGGCATTAACAGTCATGCCTGGAAAAGCTTCCTGAGGCCTTAGCAGCTCTCTGGGCTCAGCCACTAACACCCTGCTGGGGTCTCTGCGCTTCTACTGCCAAGAAGTATTTCTCTGAGATGATAGTGAAGGACTACCTTCACCAGAATCGTCTGGAATGATTGTAAAACTGAAGAGCCTGGCTCCACCTTAGACAGAGTGACCACCCTGTAGTGAAGGTGGGACCTGGAAATACGCCTGAGAGCAAAACAAGCCTCCTGTGAACCCTTCCCTACACAAATCCATGACAACTAACGCCGCCAGGGAAGCCCACGCTCACTTATCTCCCATAGAGTCTCTACAGCTTCTCAGAGATTACTCCACTCTGCTTTGCAATGCTATGAAAAGGAATTTTTCAGTGTTCGCAAGTTTAGCCTACATTATGATTTGGATCTTAAATGTCCCCATGCTAGAAGCTTGTTGCCAGCCTGTGGCACCAGGGAAGGTGGTAGGACCTTTTAGAAGGCTGGGCCAGTGGAGAGAGTCCTGCACATATGTCTATGCACCAAGTGCATGTGTGGTCAGAAGAGGATGTGGATCCCCTGGAACAGTACAGAATGGTTGCAAATGGGCCACACAGGTCCCGAGAACCGAGTCTAGGTCCTCTGCAAGAGCAATCTTGCTCTTAACTGCTGAGCAAATCTCTCCAGTTCCAAGGAAAGTAGTTTGGAGATAGAGAATGAGCTGGGGATGTGGCTTACCTGGTCCATTGCTTGCCTAACATGCACAAAGCCTTGAGTTCAATTCCCAATATAAAACTGTCATAGTGGCATATGCCTATAAGCCCAATACTCAGGAAGTAGAAGTAGAAGCAAAAGCATCTGAAGTTCAAGGTCATCCTTGGCTACTTAGGGAGTTTGAGGTCAGCCTGAGGTATGGACCTCGTCTCTAAATAAATAAAATTTTAAACTTTAAAAAAGTAAAATGACAGCAATAAAGCCCACTGAGGCTCACCACACACACAGCCCATCACCTACAGACAGAGCATGAGTGGATTGTTCAGCACAGGACCCCATGGATAGGATAGAATGGCCACTCCCAGTGGGTGGATCTTCCTGCTCCAGTCACCCTACCCTGAGAGAATCCCCTACAGGCATAAGCAGAGGCCCATCTCCAGGGTGACCCTAGATCCATCAGGAAGACAGCTGAGATTAACCACCACCTCATCCCTCTCTGCACAATCAACCAGTTGTGTCCTGGCATACAGTGACTAAAGAAACCTTTCTAGGTAGCCTCACCTGGACAAAGGGTCAAGGCCAGCAGAGTCCAGACACCAAGCAGAAGCATTTTCATTCTTGGGAGAAAGCCCAAAAGCTGAGGAAAGAAAAGAAAGAATCCTAGAGAGAGATTTTTTTTCTCGTTACATTTTCATAAAAATTTTATGTGTGTGAGTGTTTTTCCTGTATGTGTGCCTGTGCATCACATGTGTTCCTGGTGCTGGTGGAGAAGGCATTAGATCCCCTGAGACTGGAGTTACAGATGGTTATGAGCCACCATGTAGGTTCTGGGAATCAAACACAGGTCCTCTGCAAGAGCAAACAGTACTCTTAACCTCTGAGTCATCTCTCTAGTCTGGAGAATATTTTTATAAATAAAAATGTACAAAAGGAAGCCATTGCTGTAGTGTCTGCCATCCCCCTTCGGTTTTGTTTTTATTTTGAGACAAAGTCTCAGGTAGCAGGAGCCGGCCCTGAATTCGCTAAGTGGCTGTGGATGACTTTGAATTCCTGATCTTCCTGCCTCTGCCTCCCCCATGCTGGGATTACAGGGGTTCACACACTCCAGCTCCTAGGCTGGAGGAGCTGACCTAACACTGATGGGCTCCAGACTCTGGGATCCTCCCCTTCCGTTTATATTCAAGGGTTTCGTGCTGTTTCTCATAAGTGGGAAACACATTCTACCCTTTGCTTCTTCTCTGTGCCTGAGAGTCACCCGCCCTCCACGCACTGTTCATCTCTGTGTGAGATCTACCTACCCTCTGCTCAGGCTTCAGCACCCACAACTTGCGTCCATGCTACTGTTTTCCTTTCCCATAGGATGCATTGCTTCTAACACATTTATGTCGGCCTGGCTCCGTGTCACCAAGGAGAAAACCCAAATCGCCCCCTAACTTTATTTGTTCTCAGATAACTTAAGAATCACAAGTTTGGAAGACCACACAGCTTAGCGATACAGAGCGAATCTCCCAGTAGCTCTACTGTAGATTTTAGCGGTGACAGGTGAGCTGGGATTAGTTATCTACGTTATTTATTTATTTTTAACATCCTGAAGACTGCTTCTGCTGAAAACACTCTGCACTTCAGCCTCTGGGTGTCTGGAGAGGATAAAAAGGCCCATCTCTGCCTTCAGACTTTAATCAGTGTTGCATGCAGACAGGTGGGAACATTTGAAAAACGCTTTAGTCGAAAACTATAGTACAGCGGGCGGTGGTGGCGCACGCCTTTAATCCCAGCACTCGGGAGGCAGAGGCAGGCAGATCTCTGTGAGTTCGAGGCCAGCCTGGTCTACAAGAGCTAGTTCCAGAACAGGCACCAAAAATTACAGAGAGACCCAGTCTCGAAAATAATAAAAAAAAAAAAATACAAAAACCAAAATTATAGTACAAGGTCACCTACAGCAGCTTCGGCGACTAGAATCATCAGACCACGAAATTAGCAGAGAGGCAGCCAATGTGTCACCTCGGACCCAGAAAATAGAATCACCACCACCCGGCCCCAGATCCCTTCCTTCATCTCTAACCCCTCGCTCCCTAGAGTTGAGAAGTTGATTTCACGCAGATCTTTGGCCACTAAAGATCTCTCTTGACACTGGCTGCGGAGTGCAGTGGGGTATTGGTATGCCAGGAACATTTTCCTGAACAAGTTTCCTGAACTGTGTCTCTCTCCTTGGGACTGTAAGCACCATGAAGGCAGGGCGGGCCTTTTGTTTTATCCACTGCTGGGTGCCAAGAGACTGGAACGGTTATAGTCAGCAATTACCAGTAGCTGAACCAAAGAAAATATAAGCTAATAGTGCGGGCACAAGCACTTGGATGGGGGACAAAAGGCTGGTAAGGAGGTTCCCTATAGCTGGGAAAGGGGCGTGCACACAACTGGGCGTGAGGCATTTAAAGACAGATATTATCTAAAACATTTAAAATATATGGGGGAAACACACACTTTCAGGCGTGTTGGCGAACTCCCCCACCGGCCGATCTTCTACTGGATTTCACTGGTAGAAACCAGCAGGAACCCAAGCAAACCAAATAGGACCCAAATCCTCACTGAGTCGCAGCTGTCCGCTTGTCCCTCTTGTCTCACTGGCCGCTCTTCGATGCTCGGGGATCGCAGACAAGAGCTGCGGTAGTCACCGCGCTCGAAACCGCCGCTTGCTCCAACCGTTGGGTCCGCGCTCCTGGAGGGGGTGCTCTGCGCAGGTGCTGCTCCCAGGAGTCCCCAGATCTGCCCGGAAACTCGTGACGCTCACGCAGAGTCTCAACAGGGTTGGCTGAGAAAAGACGCGCCAACAAGTAGCTTTAAAGACAGGATGGGTTCTAAAAGACAGAAGAGTAGGGAAGCCTGCTCCCTCTTCAAAGAGAGCACAGATTTGACTCAAGACAATCGCTGCTGAGCCAGGCTTGGTAGTGTAGACCTGTCATCCTTGTTTGTGGGAGGTGGCGGCAAGAGAAATATGAGTACAAGATCATTTCTTGGCTACAGGGGCGTTCTAGGCCCTCCTGTGTTATGTAAGACTCCGATTGATTGATTGACTGATTTAAATAAAAAAGAAATGATGGTTGTAAAGAAAGGATCTTTTAAAATAAAGTTATTTTTATTTAGGCTTGTGGGTGGTGTAAACCTTATGTATACAGATGCTTTCGGAGGCCAGAAGTGGGTACAAGATCCTCTGGAGGAGTTATAGGCATTTGTGAACCACCTCAAGGGAACTGAAGGTCCTATGGGAGAACAATAAGTGCTCTTTTTATTTTATTTTGGTTTTTCGAGACAGGGTTTCTATGCCTAGCCCTAGCTGTCCCGGACCAGGCTGTGTCTGCCTCCTGAGTGCAGGGATTAAAGGCCTGTACCAGCACCGCCTGGACAGTAAGGCTCTTAACCATTGAGTCATCCCTCCAGCCCCAAGAAAGGATCTTTAAACAAAACCAAAGAAAATCTTTCCCCCTTGGCTGTTCATCTGTTGGTTCCACCTGAATGCAGAATTTAGGCTACTCCAGTCTTGCTTTGAGTGATGTGTCTCCTGAACTCTAGACCTTGAGTTTACCTCAAAATTCCGGGCTCCCCAGCTACTGTCTGGTTTCCCTCTCCCAGGGTATGTGTGCCAGATAGTAATTCAATGGGACTTTGGCAAGATTCAAAATGTCCTTTTTAGCCCACTGACCCTAGAGTGTGTGTATGAGTGTGTGTATGAGTGTGTGTATGTGTTGTTACTGTCTGAAACTGGCTCTCAAATTCCCAGTGTTCCAGAAACTGACCTTGTGGTGATCCTCTTGCCTCTACCTCCCAAGTGTTGGGATTACAGGCATACATCACCACTTGTCTCCCCTCCCCTCCCCCATTCCTACATCCCTCCCTGAGTGCTCAGAAAAGCCTAGAAGACAGAGACGGTGAGGATGGCCATTGGGGGGGTTGGGGATAAGAAGACACGGAAAATTCCAGAGGCAGTGACATTGGAGTTAGCCCTGAAGGATAAACTGATGCTTGCCCCGCAGAGAATTGAGAAGAGCAAGAATGTATTTAATGAATATGAACTGGGTTAGTTTTGTACCACATATGGTTTAGAGGGGTATGGCAGGCGCAAAGCCTCTCTTTGAGGAGCTACAGTTTCTACTGAATTGTAGACGAAAGGAAACCTCAGCTATGACAAGTAAGAAATGAGGTGTGTTCAGGGAAGGTGAGCTGAGCGTGACCTGATAGGAGGATACTTGGGCAGTTGGTAGAAAATAAAGCTAGCTACTTGTGGACAGATAGTAAAGTCAACCACGCCACACTAAGCCATTTAGACAGGCTCTTCCTTAAGGTAGTGGCTTTTAGACAGTCTAGAACCGTGGGCCCTTTACAGAAGACCCTGTGGTCACTCAGTATACACAGCAAGGCAGAGTTGCTTGCAAAGTAGGGGTGGAAGGGAAGGAGGAAAGCACCCCACTCTCCTATCCCAAATTCAGCTCAAAGCTCCTGAGCCATTGCTGAGAAAGCCAGAGAAACACGTTTTGAGGCTCCCTGCTGAAGACAAGTGAGAGCACCTGCATTAGTGGAAGGAAGTGCTCTGGTTTGATGTCTGGGGGTCAGGGGGATGCCAGGGAGGATTGGGTAGGATAATCAATGGGAGGGGTGGAACAGCTGAATGGGAAGGAAGACACGCCAAGGATCCAAAAAAGATTTGGTAAAGCACAGAACTCAGTAACACAGGATGAGGGGGGAAGGAGAGAGAGGAGTGGAAGATGATTGCAGGTGGCAAGGGTGTAGGTGCCCCAGGCTTTCCTGGTTGTAGTCTTTGTGTCTGCTCAGTTACTTGGGTTACATCCTTAGGAGTCACTAGCCAGCAGAATGCGCCTGGCGTCTCTCCGTCTCTCCGTGTCCTTGTGCTCTTCACCAGGGCAGACACAGATGAGAGGTGGCCAATATAATGACAGCAAAACACTGATTCTGAGCACGTGGGCTTAAGTGGCTTTTTGAGTGTCTGTTGGGGGCTGGAGATATGGATCAGAAGCCCTGAGGAGGGCTGGGGGTTGGAGGTAGAGATTTAGGGTCATTGAAGGGATGAGGGGGTGAGTGTGTCTAGATACAGTAACAAAAGAGGGCTAGAGATAGCAATCAAGACAGCAAGGGTATTTAGGACAGAATGGAAGCCAGAGGAAGTAGAGGTCCCTGCACAGTTGCGCCCCTGCAGTCACGGGCTCTTGTTAATTACCCCAGTAGCTCTGGGTATGGATTCCTCCACCTTTGGAGGCTCTGAGACGTGACCAGGGACGAACCACAGTGATGCCCAGTTTCTACCTTGTATGGGAGAACAGATGGTAGACTTGTGCCCCAGACTCTGACGTCAAGAGATTGTAAGAGTGCTCTGAACTGGCTGTAGCCATGAGACTCATTGCTTCCTTTCCCCTCTGCTTTTAGACTTTTTTTTTTTAAAAACAGCTTTAGATGTGCAGAAATAAAGAACAGAGAGTTTCCTATTCCTTCCAATTTTCCAATTATGAACATCCTTTATTGGTGTTGTCTTGTTGTTACAATTTATGAAGCAGTATTCATGCGTTATGGTTAAGGTGTAGTTTACACTGAAATTTTGTGCATTATATAGTTCTGTGGGTTTAAAACTTATTTGTTTTATATGTATGAATGTTTCATCTGTGTGT